GCTATCCAACAATTCCGATTTTAAAGCTATCAGCATTTCCAAACTGTAGTTGAACTTTGTTAGCTTCAATGGCGGGAGGTCATGGCCATTCGGACTAAAATTGTATTTGGCACACAGCCGGTAGCTCGTTTCGGCAACGTTTATGAAAACACCAACACTATTCGATTCTCAGCTGAAGATACAATTATCTCGACAGGTTAACCGGAAAGTTGCATTTTTAAAACGAGAATCATGGAATCTGCCATGCCTACGGGCCTACAATCAGGGTACACCATGTGTGGTCAATTGCTTTTCCACATGGTGTAGTCTGCCCCTATTCTATCACGTAGTTTTCCGCGAGCGACTTACTCATCGCCCTGATGATGGAAGCACTAAGCAGCTCTGAAACGACGGCCAACTATTCGAGGCCACAAGGTGCAATAACCAATAAAACTGTCATCTAGGGGAACAGCATGATCTGAATGCGAAAATTCTGAAAACGGGGGGTCAAATGCAGTACCTGTTGTTGAGGTCGTATACGCGGTCGTGCGGTGTGCCAGGTGAGGATGCTGGCCGATGGCACCATGGAGCAGCACTTTGTGTTCCGGTGGCTCGCGCTTCACTGGGGGTGGTGACGGCGATGTGACGCCCAGATCAAGAAGCGAGTGGGATCCCGGAACTGCTGTGTCCACTGCAACAAAAGAAACCGAATGTGAGAGTTATTACAAATGACGGAGTCCGATGGATGTGGAAGAAGGCGGCAGTGACAAATAGAGATATTTGCCTACAAGAACTGACAAAAGTCGAAAATCCCCATGGCAACTATAAACAGCCGAGAACTGAAACCAGGGCCTCCTAAATGCGAAGAGTTATAACCACTTCATCGCGAACTTAGGTGACCATCATCTCGTATTAGGACTGTCGAGAGAGTTCTGTTAACAAGGTCTGAACTTGTACGATCATGTGACCCATTTCCAGGAGGGCCATTGAGGACAACCGAGGTCCTCCAGCCAACTAAACCGATTTCAACCCTCTTTGAAAAGTTACCAGTCGCCCAGTTCAAAAAAATACTCCACTTTTTACGGAAACCTCAATGGTTCATTGGCACAGTCACCACCGCAACCTATTCTGAGCCATTTAAATCCAATTCAAACACTAAAATCCTATTTATTTACGATCAATCTCGATATTACCCTCTCATCTATTCTTAGGTCTCCCAATTTATATGTTTCCTTAGCGTTTTCAAACTAGGATACTTCCTACACTTCTTTAAATGTAATTTCTCCATCCTTGTCACTAGTTGTACTTAGTTCTCAAATTAAAATCGATATTCTTCCTTTAGAAGTGATAGAGTTACACGCCCATATAAGCAAACAGCATTTTATAAAGCGCGTAAGAAAGCCACTTTTGTGAGTCAAGTCCTTTCGGTACTGAAATTTGAGAACGCGTGGCACCACATCTTTGACACTATCGGCAAATTTTCTCGGACTGCTGCTTGTCAACGATCCATGAATTTTAACGTAACCCCTTTAAAACAAAAGTAGACCTCCAGCTTTCTACTTTGAAGGAAAACATTCCAGGGAGGCCTTGGTCCACGTTCTGTCTGGGCAGCATGAACAATACGAGTATAACACAATCCACGAATCTCTTAGTTTCTAATACCCTCCTGATATAGCTATATTAGTTTTCTTTTAAAATCGCAAACAAATTTAAATCTAAAACTATGCTTCGTTTAATGGTAATTGCTTTTCTGTTTTGCGCTCATTGTAACTCATTGTAACCGGCCAGTGTCCTACTTTCAACCATCAAACGATTCTCGCTGAACAAGGGATCACAACAACGACAAAACCATTCTCTTTTTTCCGGCCATTAATTGTGTCAAAACGACACCGGATGAAGAAGAAGAAAAGTCATAATAACGGATTAAGGAAAGCGAAATGCTAACGGCTGTGTTCAACTTTCATTTCTTCTCTTCTCTTCTTCCGCGTCTGTCCATCCATCGTGCGCACGCAGCCACAAGGTTACCCCACTTGTCGGACATAGACCTTAGCGAGGAGATAACCTTGACGAGATAGAAAGCGACAGAGCCGGTGCTGTGTTGCCGCGTCCAGTTTAACTCTTTGCCCTGTGCGAGAACAAACAACGCCAACATGGCAACGTACTCAATATAAATCACTCTCGCGCACACGCAAACCAGGCAAACATGGATTGCCCTTGACTACGCCCAGGAAGTTGTTCCTCTGAAACAAACGACGGGCACACTGCGACCACGACGAAAACTATGCTTGACACAGCCAATTTTTTAACAAAAACTTGGAACGTTTACTAAATAATATGAGTGACTTCCGTGACGCATGACGTGAACCGATAACGTCACGTTTTACGAACTTACAACGTAGCTGAGATGGCATGGCGCTCAGCAAGTACATGTTCACAACATCGATTTGATCGTGGGTGTGAGGTAGCATTAGTTTTAATGTGTAATGCAGGGTAAATGACCAGTTAGAAAGAATGGAATCTACCATAATACGACGTTTTCCAGGCTTGTTTGGCATGCACCAAACACTAATTGCATTGCAACTGTAGATAGTGTGAACAAAGACAAATCCGGTTCTTACAACCATTTTGGCGGGCAACCAACCGTTCACACTGGCACGATATGATAACTCGCTAGTTGGTCATTATTTGGCCACTAGGTGATTGCAAGACGCGGGTAAGATTTCGGAAAGTCCATCACCAGCCCAAAAAGATCGAGCTCAATGCCGGAACTGCAGACTTCAGATGTTACAAATTGCAGTGGCACAAAACTTGCAACGAATAGGCACCGGGCAGCCACCGCCCCAGGGGGTTGGCAGTAAACACGACAGAAACGTGAAGCTGACGATTCACGACTTGTCAGAACCTGGCTTTTGACCGCCTTCATTTTGGGAGGCTTAAGCACGGATATGATTCCACATTTGACTTACGAAAACGACGACACGCTGATAATCGGAACAGTGCTACTATTAGACTGCTTTCACACGAGGCTCAGTGGGCTGCAGATCACGCCAGTCTAGCCAACGTATTTATACGGGAGAGGCACATTGTGGGAAAGAAGAAACTTCAGTAAGTTGTTTGTAATAGGTACTATTTATAATATTATAATATTTATGCTATAAAATATTACTATTACTTCTTCAAGTTCCAACATGATTTGATGAACGCTGTTAATACACTGAAAATGTGTTGCTGGAGGGACTGAGTGAGGTTGGTAACTCTAACGGTGGGTCACGAGAGCCGAACTCTGAATTGCTTATCGCCTCCGCGTGAGCTGCATACCGGCTCACGGGCTCACGTGTGAAAGCAGTCTTCGTGTCGTGTTTCCTGTCGGAACTACTGATAGTCTAAAAATTCATTCTATAATTGCTGTTGTAATTACTAACTAATTTAATCTAAAATAAACTGAATTATCGTCATCGAAGTCATCATTGTTACCAGGGCTTCCAAAGTTGTGCCAAGTTCTACTCACCGAACGAGAAAAAAAAGAAAAAATGGAAGAAGATAATTTCCAACATGAGGCCTACATTTTGTTACCACATTAATTCTACTAACCCGTGAGAATGGTTTATGGCACGGGAAATACGAATTATATAAGCTGTTTTTACAATATGGTATTGTAAAGAAAAAACTATATTTTATCAACAAATATTTATAAAGTACAAGTTTACCTGCATAACGAATATGGTAGTGCAGGAATAAAAACTAGTAAAACTACAGAAAACAATGGAATGTCTTGTAAATTACTGATTTATTTATTTTTTTGAAATGAGATGAATGAATTCAATAGCCTGCGTAAAATCGCTTCGAAACGGGAAAATCTAAAGGCGGGCCTTACACTTAAACCTAGGACTAGGAATGTGTTTGTTATGCAAAAGGATACACAACAATCTATCGCATCTGCATGGTGCCAGAAGCGCTGTGGCACGCGAGCCTCAATAAACGATGCAGCTGGTGGTACTAGCCCAGCTGGTCTTTCGGCTTATTTTTACGAGACGTAATACATACGTCAGACCACCTGGAGAGAGGTGGTAATACGGCAAACACCCCGTTTACACAACAGGATAAACGAGACCCAATTGATGCAGCTGTAAAGCAGCATTTTACAACCCATACACAAGTAAATTAGCTCTCAATTTTACATTAAAGCTATAAAAAGGCATTATCAAAATCTATTAGTAAGGGACAAAAATTGTGCATTTAAAAATCAGACTCGAACATGTTTTTAACTATAACACACAAACTCTGCAACAAGGGCGGAGAATCATTGTCACCGGTGATAAGGTTTCGACTAAAGCTACTGAATTCACATCATGAGGAACACTGACATCCAATCCGCGACTACGGTAGAAACTGCAGCGCAAGACCACTCAGTTGCGCGCGCAGTTTCACGGACAAAGCACATTACGGCCTCTCACGGTGCACCATTCACAAAATACACGTCCATTTACACGCTTTCAATTTTACGCGTTTTCTAAAAATGCGGCTATTCGCAGGAAAGCAACCCTCGCGTTTAACGAGTCACCACAACGAAATCCACGCCGTCACGTGTCTTCATAAGCCTTCCAACATCGTGGAAGGTATAGGCGCGGTTCCAGCCCTGGAGACCGACTTTCCGTTTTACTCAGTCCCTCCACCGAAATCCTAGAATAGTGGACGCTGCCTTGAACACGGTATAACCGCTTCGTTTCGTATCATTATTAATTCATCAGTACATTGGTCACTTATCCTTTTTAAAAATTTTGATTACCGATTTGCAGTCACGTTACATGTCCACAACAGAGAGTGGAAACAATTCTTAAAAATTCTCCGGTTTGTTTCAGTGAAGTTGCTAGCTAAGGTTTGCGCAACCGGGGTCTTTTCGTTGCTACATCGTCTCTGGGGTGCATCCAGTTCCATCAAGTTCCGTGACGGAGAATGCGCTCCACGACCCTCGCTTCTCCGGAATCACCACATTACGAGATCTGTCTGCGCTGTAACTGGGCGTCAGGTTACCGCTCTTAAGCGCCAGCGAAAAGGGAACCTCAATCATGGAAGACAAATCAAATCAGTCGTGCAAGACCGTAATATGTCACCATCGGGACGGAAAGTGGGTGCAGCGTTGCCACAATTCAGTGGATTCTCCTTGACCTACATTCTGAGATCTCAAAGCTTAGGAAATTGCTCCCACGGTGTGTTGGAGGGGGGAGGGGGGAGCTATCCTCCTCGCTCCTAAGAACCTACATGACACGAAAATGGAACCCGCGTTTACGCAACACTGTTACCAGGGTCGAGGGGTGAACACAAAGCAGGTATCTTCATCACTACAGCTTAAAGTTTGTGAATGTAACGCACATCCTCGTTGTTATAACATCACAGAAAACATCAGAATTCTTATTTTGATAACAATGTTTCCTTCACATTCAAAAGATCTCAACCAAATTACGTATAGGAGATTTTAGATTCTCAAGGCGGTGAAGATGTCGACATTAGATTAGTCCTCCGGGTTTTTATAATGCCCTGCGAATTATTCTTGAGTTGTTCAACGACGCTGCTTCAAGAGCGTAGCTACCAACGTTCAATTGTAGCATTAATGCGAATGGAGAATAAAAAGTAAGCGGTTTTAACCCGTTATAACATTCTGCCCTTGAGTAAATCAGAAAAATCACACACACA